AAGATGAGCTGCTATTTATTATTGCAGCCCAGTCGATACTCGCTCCTTATGCTCCTATCTGGCCGGCGTTGCTGAAGCAGCCCGCCGGCGGAATTCTTTCTGAGAAGCCTGAGGGGGGCATAGGGTAAACTGGAGGGGCGGCGGCCATGGTTAGAACCAGCGGTTTGTCGTGACTCATGATCCCCCCGGACGATAAGCGAGCGCGTTTGGAGATATATATATATAGAGAGAGAGAGAGACATCAAGGCCCGTCTATATTCTTTGCAGCCACAAATAAATAAAAAAAAATACTTCTATGGGCGCGCCCAGCCCTATGGTTGTTTTCGGCCTTGGGCCTTGAGGCTCACCCTACCTACCCTTTGCAGTGCGCGCGACGATGGTCGTTTCCATTGTCACAACCCGGGGTTTACCGGCAAGTACGTCTAAACAAGCCCAGCAAAGTCCCACGCCCACCCGTGGGGATGTTGCAGCGATCGGATGGCGTTCGTCCGACCCCTAGAGGAAATCCAGCCCAAAACCGACTCGGTGACCCTTACGCGACGACATACGACTCATTTTTTGCGCTCTAAAGGGCCGCCCGCACGTTGCCATGACCATGCGCGACGGTCTGGCCAAAAAGACCGCGCGACGGCATTGTTTTCTCGTCGGCGAAAAAACGCCTCTCGGCCACCGAAAACGACCCCGAAACCGTCGGCGCGTCGCGGGACGTCGACGGGTCCCAGGCTCGCAGGTGTTGTGGTAGTCGAGGGCGGCCTCCGCAGCGGTGAGAGATCATTGGAACCGCCGTCATCGATGCGAATCGCCCGCCAGCGTCTCGCTGCGCGCCCTGAGCGCCAGTCCGCGGTCGAAACACGTGCGTCGGGATGATGTTCGACGCCGCGCCCCGTCCGCAGTACTTTCGTGCACCCTCCGAAGCGCTCGGAGCAGCCGAAGTAGTCGCGCGCGACGCGGAAGGCGGTCCCGTCGACCGACCTCCACTGGTTTGCACTCAGGCTGCGGAGCGCACGTGCTGGTTTCGCGACGCGTTCGACTTCCCGCGCAGAACCTCATCGCCTGGGCCGACAAGGACGAGCAGCCCGACCCCGAGGCCACTGACGACGGGTCCTACGACGACCGCTCCGTGCGGAGACTCGTTGCCCCCGGCAGCGACATCACTGACGCGTTAGTTTAGTGCAGGTGATATAGCCGCCAGGACATATTATTAAGGAATGATACAAGATATAGAATGATATAGTTGGATTAGGAGCTGGGTGTTGCCTTCAACATGGGCTCCACCCAGCTCGGGGACTAGCCTAGTCTAGGACCCCCAGGAAAAGAATAGGGCCGGCTGGATAGGAGGAGATTTTCCTGGGGTGCGCTCAGGCGCACAATAATAGAAGAGGATGTCAGCGACAGACGATACTCGTACTCGAGTACGGGTTATATCTTCTGTCTCTCTCCTCTGTATCCTGAATATCCTGGCTGATATATCCTGGCGGCTATATCACCTGCACATATTAAGGAATGATGCAAGATATAGAATGATATAGTTCAAGTTGGATTAGGAGCTGGGTGTTGCCTTCAACATGGGCTCCACCCAACACGAAGTCAGCCCGAAGGCTCACTCCGCTACTCCCACCTACCGACAGAAATGCATCTGGACCTTCGCCGCGTCCACCGCGGACCGGCGTCGTCCCGTGCATAATCCTTGTCCCTGAGTCTCTCGAGCCTTCTGCTCTCGAACCTCTCCGACCCGTATGGCAAAATTGTTGAATTATGCCCCCGCCAAGCCGGGTCGGAAGTCGTATTTAAATGTTCAACAAAACGCTCACTTGAAGGGGAGTATCACTGGCACCCCAGAGTATTCGTCTTCAGATTTTGTTTTCGTCCTTGATAAGGACCGTATCGGCCTGCAAAAAAAACATTTACGGCGGTACATGTACAATACATATGTTTCCGGTAGCGAGTCGGTGAGTTTAGACCACCTATCATCGTCCAGCTAAATAAAACTGCCGACTGTGGTGGTCCTCTCCCAGCTCGCCGCTTCCCCGGGGACCGGGGTGGCGCGGCTTTTTTTTTTTATACAGCTGGATGCGGCGGTCAGACTACCAGCGTGAAGCTAGCCTGGCTATGCGGGCTATGTAGGGCGTGGGCATGGGGCCGGGGGGCGCACGCCGGAACTGGATGCGGCGGCCCGACTACCAGGGTCCCGCAATCAGCGTGACTAACTCTTGGCTGTATCTGAGGCATCGTTACCGGCACAGTGGTCCCACACAAACCTATGATAGCGCCGGGGAAATCAAAGGGGACCTCAAAATAGATCGAGATCAAACACCAAAAATGCTCGGAATTGAACGTATCGTAAACGTAGGGAAGGACTGGGCTCCTTGGGTCAAACGCCTGATATAGTTCTTGATTTGAATAAAAGTGACCTGTGCCTTCGTTGAAAAGATCCGAGAACGGAAGAATGTCGTGATGGTCGTGCCCGTAGCATGAGTTGGTATTAACCCATGTGTGGTTGAACCGTCGAATTCATCTGAAAGGCGCATGTACGCCCAAAGTCGGTCAAAAATAGGATGGAGAGGCCAGAAGAGGGGATCATTTGCGGATGCGCCCGTTGCCTACGCATGCGCACAGAGAACACCTCAACACGCATGCGACTACACAAAAATATATTGCACCGTAGGTGACCATCGCCCCTAGCTTGCCCGCATGGCATGCAAATTTGAGGTACCAGCCAAGGAAACGATCAAGCCCTTGATGGCCAATGGTCACCTCCCAAAAGTATTTGGTCGTGCCTGGCTGCTTTGTCTCTACTTCTGTAAAAAGTTTGTGGATGTAGCCTGACGCTCCTACATCCTCGAGAATTCCCCATTTCTCTTCCGGCGACAGCTTCGCAACCTGCAACGCCGGTCTCTAACACTCGCTCTATAGGGGACCACAAAGTTAATTGACACTGATCTCAACATGATCAAGACTTGGACAGGAACATGAGCAGTTTGAAAAGGCTGTGTCTTCGCTACAGTAAAGAGGACACTTCATGAATTTTTTGTTCCACATTTTGTTCCAGATAGGCTTAGCCTTGCAGCCAATCTCACCGAGAAGCTTCTGGTATTCGGATACGTAGGTATTGGCGAGATCTTGTGTGAGCATCAGGTCCGAATGATTTGCGCTGAGGCTCACAACTTCAGCTATTTCGTAGGCGCAGTCCCAGGAACCACCAAGGATGGCATGCAGGTCGCCATGCAGCTCGTCTTCCATACACTTGTGTAGATCTGGAAGATTCTCGGCCTTGAGACATCCGATCATTTCGGGACAACCGGGGAGGGGCATCGTGATAGGGAGGCCACAGAATGTATGAGCACGCGTGACAAAATGTGAAGGATCGTTATTGATCGTAGAGGTAACACGGCCATAAGAGTTTCGCACTGGCCTCGAGAAATTAGTGGGCACAGGGACTTCCTGGAAGAAGGTTGAGGCCACGGTGTTGTCTGGACCGCCTGGATGAGCTGAGCCGAACCAGTCATTGGAGAAGACAGCGGCAGAATCCCAATCGGTGCCAAGTAAAGCTGCATCAAGAGTGTAATCCCAGTATGGCTGTGTTACTCTGGCGTCCACGGACTGCAGTGCCTGCTCGAGCTCCAAGGTGAAAGCGGCATGGGATGTGATGAAGCTGAGGCCTCCGTGAAACGGAGAACACTCCTCAGTGTGAATGTGTTTGACTGCAAAATATTCCAGATTCGCAAACTTGCTTCCAAAGCGGCGGCGGCCCTCGTCGAGGGGCACTGTGGACACAATGCGCATTGCCTCAAGGTAGCGAATCTTGTCATCGGATGTCACCGCCCGCATCTCCCGACGTACGTATTTACACATCAACGTAGCTACGTATGTGTCTACGTCAGTAAGAGTGTCGACGGCAAGCCGCCGGGAGTTTGGCAGCTCGATGGCGAGATCGTAGATCTGTGAGACATGTGTAAAGTTGAGGTCGACATCACAGCCACGCTCAGATCGTGATATCAGAACCTGTGGCGCAGTTTCAGGGGCTAGATCACCGAGCATACGATGCTGTGCACGTGCGGGACTCGCGTTGCCGCCTGCGCCTCGATTCACACGTCGAGTGTCTGTTCCCTGGAAGGTGACACTCCAAATTGGCGTGCGTGTATTGTCCAAGAGATGTCCGTCTCCATCACATGCGTCGCGAAACCGGATGGTTGTCGTCTTGTGTGGTTCAACAATGTAATCCCACGGGTAAAGCGAGGGCCCAGAGACCGTGGAGTAACCCGAGGTTTGCACGTCCAAGGAGGCATCATGGCGCATCGCTGTCGAAACCACCTCCAGGGTGGACGAAGGTGATGGTGGGCTCGTTGGCACGAGGAGCTGATTTCCAAAATCACGGATGACCCTTGTGTTGGCAGCGATAGATACAGCCGAGGAATCAATATCAATGATATTGTACAAGTCCCGTGTCCCAAAATCCGCGAAGTAGGTCGATGATGACTCCTCAGCAGCAGAAGCAAATGTGGCAGAAAACTCGCCGGCGGTAAGGGCTTTGGTTAAGGTTGCTTGGACCTGCTCGCTGAGAATCCCGCGCCAATCATCAGTCGCTGGGTCTACATTATCGTGGTGCACGATAATTTCCACAGTGAATGTCATCTGGACACGCGGACCGCTAATCGTCGATATGACCGTATAGCACTCACTTGAATACAAATTAAAATGGGATAGCATGGCTGAAACGGTTTTCCCCAACAATGCTATTTCTGTATTACCCAGCTTGTCCACTGACACATTCTCGAGCACGAGCGATGATTCCACGAGAGCTACCTCAACAAGTGCTGTGTCTGCGTGCTCATAGGAGTAGTCGTACGAGTAAGATAGCATCATCGCTTCCAACTCACCACCGTCGCCTATTTGTGATGGTGCGCGCGTTCGTGACCTGTGGCTACGAGTTTTCGTCTTTCCCGTGGAAAGCTTTCCCGTGGAAAGAGGGATGTCGTCGCCCTCCTCGCCTCCGAGGAAGCCGAAAGTTTCCCCGTACGGGTATGAGGCAGGCAACTGAGGTGGCACAGCCGAG